GGGGGGGGGGGGGGGTTTACATTTTCCGTATTTGTTTATCAATCAAAGTTGCTTGATTTTTTATTTTTCGGTATTCCTATGTTGCAACAACAACAAGAAGAATTGATTTTATTTGTTTATTTTTGTGTATTCCTTTGTTGTAGCAACAAGAAGAACAATTGCAAAAGCAGCAACAGGAAGGAAAAAATGAAGAAACTTGTGAGACTTCTGAACGTGCTACAATTGCAAAAGCAGCAACAGGAAGGAAAAAATGAAGAAACTTGTGAGACTTCTGAACGTGCTACAATTGCAAAAGCAGCAACAGGAAGGAAAAAATGAAGAAACTTGTGAGACTTCTGAACGTGCTACAATTGCAAAAGCAGCAACAGTGTATCATCATTCACTTTCATTTTGATGAACGTGCTACGATTTTTATTTTCTTTCATTACATTGGTTATACTGCTGAACTTTTAAATTAAAATTCTATTTATGTACACATAATTATTTAGGAGCTGTTTAGGAATAAGTTATTATAGTTTTCTTTTCAACTTTTTACACCCCACAAAAAAAAAAAATGCATAAAATAAAGAGTAATGTAAGAATTTATAGTGGCTTTTTAGCTATAAACCCACCTTCCCTAACAAGGCCTCATTACAAAGTAGGACCATATCTGTTTGGGAACACCCAAAAATGTCACATTTTCTCTAAAAAAATTTGTCCTTAGTTATCTTTTTCCATCACCAACACTCCGACCACCCCCCTAACCCTATTGCCACCACTACCATACAACCACCACACCGCCATACCACGACCACTTTACCATAGTTGTGACCACAATCACTACCACTACCTCTACAACCACCAAACCACCACCACCGTTACCACCATTATTACTAGAACCACTACCCTACTACCACTGCTTCCACCACCACCCCCATTCTCTCCACCACCACAACCACTATCTTACCACCACTACCACCACGTTCACAAAAACCACACAACCACAACTATCATGAAAACTACCACTCTGTCTCTACTCCCCCCCCCGCCGTCGCCGCCGCCACCACCACCCACTCGCCACCACCCACCACCCGCTACCGTCACCTACCCATCCACCACCACCACCACCCACCCGCCACCACCCACCACCCACCGTCACCACTTTCTACCACCGTCTTCCGCCGCCACTTGCCACCACTTGTCATTTCTCACTCTTTTTTATATTTTAAATTTTTTTAAAAATATTTTGTCAATTACCAAACGCGTTTGCAGTTTATATTTTTCTAAAAATAAACAAAAAATAAACAAAAATCAGTTTATAAAATTTTTGTAAATATAAACTGAAAACGTAAACGTTACCAAACACACCCATAATATCTGTATTCTAGTTTCTGCTACTTAAATGATTTGGTTACTAATGATTTATTTACTAAACTGAGTTATGTAAATGTTTTGGTCTAATTAACTATCCATGGTTATTTCGTGTCCCTTATACTCTTGGTTTAATATTTCTCACTCTGCCATGTGCTTATAGTTGTTTACCAATTTTTAGGAACCAATGCAATTCAGAAATAGCCTTTGGAAAGTCTTAGATGCGAGACTGCAGAATAAACACACACAGTAGTTTTATTGATATTTTTCTATGTAAATATCAGTCTTTTTTGTCAATATATTTTGTAATAAAAATAGAAGCTCCAATGATTATTTTGGTACCCTTACTTAAATATTATTTCCGCTCGCGTTTATTGATTTGTTTAAGAATTGGCTGGAGGTAACCTCAATTACTGGCCATCACGATGCTTAACCTTTGGGTACGGGGAGCGGGTCGTGATACCTAGCCTACCCAATCAAACACACTCTTAAGGTGCGTTTATTTGGACGGACTGGATAATAGGGGATTGTAAATACACACACCCAACTTTGAAGCTAGATTTTCTCAATAGACATTTTCTAAGCGGACTTTGAACTTGAAAATTCTTAGTACACTTCTTTTCAAAAAAAATTAAAAAGAACTGAAAATACATAATCGAGGATATGTAAATAGTTCGGAACTATAAAACCGAAAATATGAAAAATATGTAAATACATACTAAAGAGGATGAAAAAAAATAAAATCTTATTTGGAAATACATAATAAAAAATATATAAATAGTTCAAGACTAAAGAATCGAAAATATATATATAGTTCAGAAATACAGATTAAAAAATATAAATTTAATTTAAAATTATTGAATCGAATGTTTTTCTTTTGTTTAGTAGTATGTTGTAAATTTATATTTTATTTGAAAATATAGAATATAAAATTAATGTTTCATTTGGTTGTTGATTGCTGAATTTTTTAAAAAATATTCAGATAATCAATAATGATTTTTATTCTCTGTCCCAACTAATATGAAAACGAATAACAAAAATAGTAAAACAGTAACTTAGTTTTGTTGAATAATAATAAATCAATAATTTGATGTTCGAAATTTGTATATCTCAGAGAGTATTGTGTTTCAGATGCTTCTTTTGTTGCGCTTCATTGTTTCTTTTGTTGTGCTTCAAAGCCGGAGTATTATTGGAGAGTGCTAGAAAATCTCGTATGTGTTGGGCACAGTTTAGGTTTACATTTAGCGGTCGTGTGTATTTATGTTTTGTGTGGTGTGTACATAATATATTATATTATTATGCTTTAGGGATATAGTTGAAACATTTAATGTAGAAAAAATTAATCTAAGGTCTCTCTCTCATTTTTAAATAATAAAAGAGGTCTATAATATTATTTTGTAATATCTAAAATTTCACAATCTCACACCCATATATCATAAAAAAAAAAAAAAATTAACTCTCTTAAATCGAACCTCGTCTCTCTCTCTCTCTTTCAAACCCAACAATAATCTCATGATTTTACAACCCCACAACCCAGAAAAGCATACAAAAGTCTATAAAAAACAGAACATTATTTGAATTATTGTGTACTCTCTCTGTCCTCTCCAAAACTCCAATAAAGCTATACGATCCTCATAATTGTATAGCCAATATGCTCGCTTTTATCCACAATGACAGTCAGTGTCCCTAAAAAAGAAGCGTTAGGATCCTCTAGAGTGATCCCTTTAGAGTGATCTCCTAAAGTAAAAGAGATGGGTGCGACACCTGTCCACTAAAAAAACTAAGGGTTGAGATCAATCCCTCACCAAAACGAAGTCGTTTTGGTGAGAGAAATTAAAAAAAAAAAATAATTTCAGACCGTCGTCTTCGATCTCTTCTTGGGTTCACTTTGGAAGACAACCTTCGTCTTCGATCTCTTGTGCCACCGCCACCGCCACCATTCACACCGTCGTCTTTGATCTCCTTTCCCCCACCCCGATCGCCTACCGCTCACTTTTCTTTTTCCAGATTTTTTCTTCTTTTTGTACCAATTCGCGATCCCTTACGTCCCTGTTTGGGTCTCTCTCCTCTCTCTCTCTCTCTCTCTACAAGTTCCCTCTCCTCCACTACCCTGCAAATCATTTCTAAACTCAACAACAAGAGCAGAGATTACTCTGAAACCGGGTGTATTCAGGCAAATGGGTGTTGTTTCCACCTTGTGGAGGCAGAAAAGAAGCAATCTTGGGTCTGTGACACTTGGAAGATCAGTTTCAGGTGGGGAAAATGATGGGTTTCGAAGCTCACAAGATGGGTCTTCAACTATGGAAGATAAGGAGGAGGAGGAGGAGGAGGAGGAGGGGGGCCTTCTATTGGGTGCAGAGAGGGATGATTCTGGGTCTATTGTTGGGGTTCACTTGATTCTGGTCTGAATTTTTTCTTTTTTTAATTTCTCTCATCAAAACGACGTCGTTTTGGTGAGGGATTGATCTCAACCCTTGATTTCATTAGTGAGACAGGTGTCGTGCCCATCTCTTTTACTTTAGGAGATCACTCTAGAGAGATCAACTCTAGAGGATTCTAACGCAAAAAAGAACAAAGTCTAAATCAACACTTGAAACCAATTTTATAGAAAAAAAATCAATAGGCAAAGGCTTTTTTGTTGATTTGCACAATCACTGTAGTCCCTCTGCAATAAAAAGACAACCCTTAAAAGCAATTAATTTGATTTGAACTTTTCTTTTACCAATTGACCCCAAAGTTTAGAGAAAAATTGCACTGAATATTGCAAACAGTGTAGCTCGAATTTACTGTGACTTGAATAGTTCGAAGTGCCAAAATGACCTCTTTTTTTTTTTTTTTTTTTTTTTTTTTTTCTTTCTTTCTTTTCTTCTTCCTCCCCCTCTCTTCTTCCTTCCTCTTTTGCTCTGCTCTGTTCTTTGAAAAAATGAAAATGAAAATCAAAATCTAAATAAATCAAAATCAAAACAATAAAAAAAAAAAATCTGTGTATACACTGATCAAAATCAAAATCAAAATCATCAAAAAAAAAAAAAATCAAAAAAATCTGTGTGTATACACAAATCAAAATCAAAATAAAAAAAAAAATCCAAATCCAAATCTACACAAATCAAAATCAAATGCATCAAAAAAATCTGTGTGTATATACAAATCAAAATCCAAATCTACACAAATCAAAATAAAAAAATAAAAAAACAAACCCACAGCAACAGAGGAGTAAGGAAAGAAAGAAGAAGAGAGGAAGAAGGACAAGAGGAAGAAGCCTTCGTCCATCGCCATCACTGTTACTCTGTGTGTATACACAGATCTGTGTATACATATATACATAGATCTATATGTATACACAACTCTTCCTTTCTCGAGCCCATCGTCTCTCTTCCTTCATCTTCTCTCTTTATCACTTTTCTCTCTTCTCTCTTCTTTCTTCTCTCTGTTTAAGAGAGATAAGAGAGAGAAAAAAAAATTCAAAACGATGTCGTTTTAAAATTCTGGCCAGTTGAGCCTCAAAAATTTCGAGTTACCAAACTTTATTCTATTCCAAATACGATTAATGAAAACTTTGGATGGTCTTTGAATTTTATGATTAGTTGATTATTGTCTGAATTGTTAAATTGTTTTGATATGTATAAATTTTGGAGTAGAATGTTGGATAAGCTAAGGAAGAGACTTTCTTCACAATTCTTCATAGAGTAATTTGTGAACAAAGTCAGAGAAGTTTCAATTTTCTTTGAACAAAGTTAGAGAAATTTGTGAACAAAATCAGAGAAATTTCAGTTTTTTCTGAATTTCTCTAGTTTGAATTCAGAGAAATTTCAATTTTCTCTAGTTTGAACCCAGAGTAATTCTCTGCACATAATGAGACAAATTTATCTATTTTGGAAAGAATTTCTCTGGTTTGGAAAAAATTTCTCTGAAAAATCTAGAGAAGTTCTGAGAATTTCTTTGTAGGATCGAATTTTTTCTAGATCGAT